ACCGACATTGTAAACAAGCACAACAAAGCGTACGTGACTGACATCGGTCTCCAAATGTCGCACGTTTCTTCTCCTTGATACAGAGCGTCTACTGCGCATGTGCGGAACTGCGATCGCAGAGCTGCAGCGGAGATAAATTGAAACGGAACTTACTTTCTGGACGTGCCTCGTATTTTTAGTTATATTTGTCTTAAATTCTTTTGCTATTTTGAAGATATTTTTTCTCTTCACTTAATGTTATCAAAATAGCCATAGACCAACATGATCATATCAAGCTGCATTAACTGTGTTAATTAAGGCAATGTTCCTCGCTTTATATTGATTCACAGACTAAATGTGAAAGCAGTACTGCTAGGAATGTGGAAATTGGAAGCTAGAGTATGCATATAATGTAGAAGCATACAGCAAATGTGAAGAAATAGTCTTATAGTGGTTAAAAGCCAAATTGTCTGAAATATTTTTATACAAAAACCTTGTAAGTTGACAGATTATTTAAAAGTAATTTTCATACCATGATTTGTGGGTTTTGTTTGGGGAGGGGGGGCAGAAAATTTTCATCCTAACTCATATCTCTTATTCTTTCAAGAAGAGTGCATATGGGTTAAAAGTAAAGAAATATCCCCAATTCTGTTTTTTAAATTATTGATTTATCTTCACATGAAAAGCTTTTCATATTTTTGTCACATCTTCATTTTCATTATTTTATTAAAATTTTTTGCTGATTTTATTTGGGAAGGGATCTTTAAAACCAGAAGGAAATGCTTTGTTTTCTAACTGAAAATAAAGGGTCCAGTACAAAAAATTTAAAAAGTCTGTCCATTATAGAAACGTACAAATCTAAGTAGACGGCAAATGCAACAAGTATTGTATATTTATAGAGGGCATTTCAAATGGCTATGAATTATATAACATGTTCCGTGAGGAATACCATGTTATTACAGCTTGAGTATAGTGTGCGGCATATTCCAACACATCTTCAAGCTTATTTGGGAATATGCTGAAATTATTTCATACTCTATCCCTAATTGGGTGGTGGTTGACAATGAGAAGGTGTCTTAAAATTTCACACGGAGAGGTTGATTTTGAGTATTCTACAGAAGTTTTATGCGCAATTTAACAGAGAACCAGCAACACAAAACTTTGTAACGGGACAAATTCTAGCGAGCCTTTGGAAGGTTAAATTGTCAGGTAAGTAATCCAGTTCTGAAGTCAAAGTAAGATGCAGTACAGTGTTTTTAATGTAATCTTCAGAAGTATTGAGGAAGTAGGAGCTTGCAATTTCCAAAACAACTGCGATATGCAGTGCAGATGGAATTTTACTCTTATCGATGATGTAGTTGCAATAACATTTGTGTGAACTCGGCATCTATGGGGATTTCTAAGGTGATGATATTTATCTAGGTAACTAAAGTATTAGCTATTGGTGGAGATACACTAGTGACTATTTACAAATGAAAAAAAAAGAGTGATGATTGAAAGGTTACATCTCTTCTGTCTAATCATTATGTCTTGGTCGAAAGCACGACTGCTATCCTTCTCTTCCATCGGCCATGTTATCGCGATACCGTTAGTCGTGTTGAGTTGTTGTACTCCTGCTACTCACACTCTGGCATCCTGATGAAATGCGGCCTCGCATTTTGGTAGTACGACGATCAGCGTCTGGAGATCTGAAAAAAAAATAAAAAAAAAAAAAAAAAAAAAAAAAACTTAAGTTTGGATTTATTTTTGCTGAGTGTTGCCTCAGTCGCCGTCATGGCCATCATAGAACATCATCATCATGTAATCGTTTCATCAGTGTCGTCTGGAACAATCTACCTGAATTCATCTTCGTACATACGTCTTTTCAAAGATGGTCTGGAAGCGTCTTCTTAGAGATCATTTGGATGTATCATCTAAATGTGTCTTTGATATCCTCAAGATCCATAATTGGAATTCGTCATCTTAAAACCTTCTTCTTTAAGCCATCTTCCTTCACACATTTCATCTTTGGGCATCATCTTCATTCTTCTTAAAATAGTTCACGTCTTTTAAAATAATATTTCGTTAGTCAAAGACTTTCGGTTTTCTTCCTAGACTTTCTTAATCTGTTTTTCTGCTTCTTTTTTCTCACCTTCTTTAGTTTCATATGTTCTGTCTTTGCTTTCTGTATCAGCATCTTTGTCATCAGGTTTCCTAACTGACTTCTGCTTTTCAACCTTCTCCTCTTCTTCGGTTGTCTTTGAAGTTTCTTTGTCTGCAGTGGTTTCTTTTGCTCGTATGTTGCAAGGTATGTTACCGAAGGTTTTCTAGTGGAATTAGCATTTAATTCATCATAAACTCTGAGCTTAGACTCTTCTTTGGGAAAATCCTTCTTTTCAGAATCTCCTTCTGCAGTGGTGTTTTTCCTTGATGACTTTGAATCTACATTCTACATGTGTTGTGTTTGAGTTTTCTTTTTGCACTAATTCACTGTTGACAGCATCATTTTCATTTACAGCAGAATCTGCATCACTCAGGGCGTCATTACAATTCAGAATCGGGGAATCGTCGCATGCTTTTATTGTAGATGAAGTGTCCAGTTTAATTACATCTTGTACTGTAACAGGAACCATAATAACAAGATCAGTTTCTGGTTTTTGAAATTGAAAAACGAGAATTCACTTTTCCAGATCCTTCTTCAGAACCACTTTCATTGAAATGAGCATTTTTCTTCCCTTCAGAATTATGCTCAGATTTCTTGTTTTCTGCAATAACGCAAATGTTTGATTGAAAAGAAGAACCAGTAGTTTTGAATTCACTTTCAAATCTCCTTATAGGTTCATTACCATATTCCATTAACTGTAGTTCTCCGGCTTAGGTTTAGAAGAACCTATCTTCTTATGTACGAGTATATCTTCTGGAATTAATGTTATTTGACTACCAGTGTCAACCAATGATGGAATGATAACCTAAAAAATATTGGTGTGCATCATCATACAATGTAGGGGTTGTTACTTAATGGCCACTTGACTGGGAATTCTCTCTGATTTTTGTGACGATGGAGGTGATGCATGACTTGATTTCTGAGTACAAGTAGATGATTTATGGCCAAATGAGTTGCATGAAAAAATTTAGGTTGTTTATGAGAACAATTAGAACTTTTATGGCCTTTAACCCACAATTGTAGCAAACTATAGGTTGGGTAGGCTTCTGAGAGATTTTTCTCTCTAAGTGATGAGAATTATTTTGTTTAAATTTCAAATCACTAAAAAATTTAGTATGTTTGGAAACAGACACAAGCTTTTCATAAATTTTTAACTTATCTTTGAATTTACTTAGTTTTACAATCGTATAATAAAATTTTGTTACGGTTTCCTGGAATACCATTTATCACATAATCAAAAATAGAAGACATATCAATTTGACCTCTAGAACCAATTTCTCTCATAGCAATAAAATAATCGAATAAGGATTTGTTTGGTTTTAAACATCAGTTTATGCACATCTGCACTGTTAAGCTTAGAGGAATATTCTTTTAACTCAATAAAAGTTTCGACACCATGTAAAGAATTTACCAAAATTTTAGAAGAGCCTGATAAACATTTTTTGGTAAATATAACCTTGTGAACATCATTCGTAATTCTATTCAGTTGAAATAATTCTTCTATGTCATTTAAAAAATATTCAATTAAAGTATCAGAAGAACCGTCAAGAGGTTTAATACAGTAGTATAAATCACGGAAAGTTAGACTGAATTGCTGTTCATTTTCCATCGATGACGTACCAAGTGTATTGTTTATGCGATGGTTATGTAAACAGATATCGGAGCTGCAAGTCTGCCTGTTTTGGCTAGCTGCCAAGTTCGAACAAGTCATGACTGCGTAGTGATGTCAGACTGTTTTATTTTTGGCAATTAATTTTTGTTTTGGGTTTTCTAATTCACTGTCAGAATCAGAAATAGTAGTTTCTAATAACAAATCGAAATTAGTTAAAGCATTCACAATTGTAGTATAACATTCATCAGCGGGAATGGCACATTCTAAATTCAGAATGTTAAGAATCAAAATAAGATCTGCCAGAGTGAACATATTTAATAAACATTCCTTAACTTCGGCAGTGTGAAAAGAGCCATCTAGTCCTCTGAATTCACGAAGTCGTTTGCAAGTTGCACGATTATCTTCTTGACCAAACACAGATTTATGCAGTTGCTTAATTGCATTCATAGAAGCTGATTTTAAAGATTCAGCTATATGGGGTATATCATTTAGAGTTGACATTGTCACGGTTTAACTATTTCGAAGAACACACGTGATGAACAAGTTAATACAATAAAATGAAAATTCAGTTTCGATTTCATTGTTCTGGTTTTAACACAATACGTTATAATGGTAAAAATAAAGTTTCAGTTCATCAAAATTGAATTCAAAGATTCTTTAATTCCACTTCATCAAAATTGAACTCAAAAAAATTCTTTGATTCTTAAAGAACAGCTTACCTTCGCTGAAGAACCCGTCGAAGCCTCCATATGAACTCGCCATCTAGGGAATTTCTCAGTTGACGATATATATCTAGGTGACTAAAGTATTTTATTTAGCTTTTGGTGCAGATACATTAGTGACTATTTATACAGGAAAAAAAAAAGTGTGATGATTGAAAGGTTACATCTTTGCTGTCGAATCATTACTTCTTAGTCAAAAGCACGACTGCTATCCTTCTCTTCCATCTTATCGTGATACCATTAGTTGTGTTGAGATGTCACACTCCTGCTACTTATACCTATGCAGTGATGATTTTCTAAACAGATTGTAGTTTAGTGATTCATGTTCCATATGGGTGGAACATTGAGCAGTTAAAATGATGTATCCAGGAGACTGAGAAACCTCATGAAATGATTAACACTTAAATGTGAATTAGTGATCTTAAAAGTTATCTTTTTAATGAGCATATTTGTTTGAAAAAATATTATTTTAAACAATGATTATATAAATATTCAATATGTAGGAAAAGAATTCATATTTTATTTATTTTACATGTTGTTACAGGAGTTAATTCATTTAAAGTTTTCATGACGTATAATGATTTTCAATTAAACGATAAGGATCTCCTGCAAGTTTTTGAAAAGTGTGCTAAACTTGGAGCATTGGCTCAAGTTCATGCTGAGAATGGTGATATCATTTCCATGGTACGTAATTATATTTTATTAGATAGTGTTACATGAAATTTAAATGTTGGTTCTTTGATTTTTCTAAAACACGTTTTTCATACATGTGATGAGACGTAGACATTTATTATTCTGTATGTTGTTGAATATCTCCATTGTTTATGTAATCCTTGTTTATACTTAAAATTTGTTTACAATTTTGAAAATTAAATTTTCTGGTCATACATGGATGGATCTGAGGTAAGAGAGAGCGCAGCTTCTCTATCGTGAAAAGGCAATTATATATATAAAAAAAAGATATGTGCCTTTTTTATGTGTAATGGGGGGGGGAAAAAAGTACTGCTGCATATCTGGTACTTTATGTCATGTAAAATAGCACTTTGTTTTGTTTTCTGTAAAAGTCTTTTCATTCATCTAGTTGATACTTAAGATTGTGGGTAAGAATTATGATAAACAATCAAAAGTACAATGACTATTTTCCATACTTTTAGTGCAAATATTTATTTGAACCGCATTTTTTTTACCTGTTATTAATTCATCAGATGTTTGGTTGAAGTTATTGAAATGTATTCTTCTTTGAACTGACTACATCCATAAAACATAACAAGGGCACTTAAAATTTTAAAATATACCCATTTATTTGAATTTTTGTTACCTTGCACTTAAATGCAATCAAAGTACCACATTTTACCTATGTATTCAAGATGTAGATTACTATTGCAAATGAAAATAATAAAATTATGCTTTTGTTTTAGTGCAGTTAGTAATAAAACTAAGTTAATGATTAAATCACTTTCAGGCATGTACATAGGTAGTTTCCAAAATTACATTGGTAGTTTGTTTTGTGGTTTGAATGCCAGCAAACAGGATAGCTGTATAGGCATTTTCATGTTTTTCTTCATGTTTAATATGGGTATAAACCAGTTTTTCTTAGAAAGTCCCCCATGAAGGCATCCCACCCAAGATAGCATTTGAGTGCTTTGTCATAATGAAATAAACAAAGACAATCCATTCAGTGTATGTAAATATCAGCAGATACTGGAGTGAGTGGGCTCCTATGGTTGCGAGATCTTACTGTTTTAGATGTCATGCCAAGGAAATGATCTTACTAAAAGCCAGGCAACTTCTTGCACAGGCATGAAGAAATAGCACACAGAGAAAAAGGGTTTAAATTTCCCTTTTATTTGATTAAACTCTTTTCAACAAAAATGCACTTACTTCATGCTCACAGTAACACCAACTACTTGCGATGGGAACTTGAGAATAAAATTGACAATAACTTAAATGGCAAAGAGTAATGCTGCACTACTTGAAACTAGCAAGCCGACTCAGCAACCTACACTGGCAATAGACTTTAAATAAATGGACAGAAAACGTACAAGCAACTCAATAACAGTAGGAAGGACAAAATAGCAACATGCGCTATGCTAGCGAAATCACGCTCTTTCTCTTTTTAGCCATTTAAATACTCATCTTCACTTTAATTTAATTTACTGGCGAGAAAATGTGAGGGAAAATTGCTGAGTTTCTAAAAGAAATTAGAATAATTAGTTATTCAAACTAAGGGAAATCCTACATGGTAATCTTTCAGTTTGGCAATAGTGATTGTTATGAAAAGTGAAACTACTTATTATGTCTGGCTCAAAGAAGCTTGAATAAGAGTATAATTCTTCATTTTAGTATAAATGAAACAGAATACCTCACCTTGGTTCAAGAGTTTCAAATGCTGTTCAACTGCTAGAATATTAAAAACCAAACTTGTGTAGAATGCTATTTCAGCCAATCTGAAATTGAGGAATCGAATCTCCTAGTTTAAATTGCTAATTATTGTTACTGGGTGTCCTATTTCAGTTACCATCGGGATGAATGAATAAATTGGTGTAAAATTTAAATAAAACTAATTTTTCTGTCTGTTACTTTTTTAATTTTTTTTTTTTTCTTTAGAATGACTTGTAGTTTATTAATGGTATTTTCTTTCATCACTGATTCAGAAACAGCAGCAACTCCTTCACTTAGGAATTACTGGGCCTGAAGGTCATCTCTACAGCAGGCCCGAAGACGTAAGTTAATTTTATATTTGATAACTCAAAATTTTTTATTATTCATTTCAGTAGATTAGGATTTGTTAAATGTTATCTGCTTTACTAGAATGACCATTTTGTCTGCCTATAAAATTTGTTGCATTTGGTTTCATTCTCATGATCCAAAGTTTATAAAAGTTTCCTAAGTAATAAAGTAAGTCTTAGCAGGAATAAAGAGAATACATGCTGTGCAACACTTCAAAAATGTATCTGTGGTAGGTATCCAAAGAGTAGTATTACGTTTAAGCTAGTCATGCAGATATTGAAACTAGTAAATATGTGCATAGCACCCACCGCAGAATTTTTCATTGACATCCAGTCCTCAAAGCAGAGTATTATGCATCATTCTAATACAAGCCTTTAGAGATACTTTTTTTTTTTTCTGGACTCGTACAATCAATTTTTGATTAACCAGGCTAAACTAAAAACGACATCCTCTATTAACATAATCATGATTAATCCAAGGGCAGTTAAAAGAATAATACAAGCAATCCATGCAAAATTATATTATTTATACTTATTTTCAGAGATATGTAACATGAATACGAGCCAGCTTTTTTCAGAAAGTCTTCCACCAAGGCATCCCTCCTCTTAGCCACCAAAGCTTAATAGCCTTTGTGGCTTTGCCTTATTCAAATAACCTAACTTTATTTTCAAGCAGTTTAATATGGTGAATAGTTTTATTTGGTTGTCTGCATTAAGTTAGTGTTCAAGATGACAATGCAATAAGTAATAGAGTAAATATCATTAAAAGGGAAAAAACACAATAAATGGCACTAAAGAGCAGTATTTGTAAGAGAATTTTGAGTTCATGGAAAAGTGGGTTGGTGGGCATATTAGCATTATTTTATATTTTAACATTGTCTTAGACTGTGATATTTTTATGCTCGTAAGTTTGTGTTTTATTTCTGTACATCAGAGCTTGGAAATGTGCTCATATGTCTAATTCTAGTTAAAAAGCTAGTAATTATCTGTCATGGTGTAGTCTTGTTTTATATCTCTAAAATCGACTATAGAAGCTTCATAAAATTATGGTTTATGAAATTTTTGTCATCTGTGGAGATGGTAACATTAGATATGCAGTTGGCAGTGATGTTCGAGTTCATTATTTGTTTTTGGAAATACTGGTTGCTTTATGAGGTAATTGTTTTAAGAGGAACCATTTCACCATGAGAGGTTTAGTTATTGCTTCCATCTTTCTGAAGTCAAAAATGAAATTTATAAACATTCCTTTTTGTAATTTTTTTTGCTTAAATATAAAAAAATTTAACATGGTAGTCTCTCCCCCCCCCCGTTTACTAATATAACAATATATTCAACAAAACTAAGTTTGCAGTTAAGTAGGTAGTGTTTTATGCCATTTTTTAGTTGTAATTTTTTTATGTATAAAATATTTATTTTATAGGTGGAAGCTGAAGCAACTAACAGGGCCATTGTAATTGCCAACAGTGTTAAATGTCCTCTCTATGTAGTTCATGTAATGAGCAAATGTTCTGGAAATGTCATTGCTAAAATGAGAAAAGAAGGTATTTGTCTTGAATGTTATTATCTTTTGGAAATATATTTTTATGCCTTATTGATTTATTGCTCCAAATATTTTTCAAAATAATGTAAATAAAGAGATGAACAAAATATATCAAATTAGCAATTCAAGAATTGATGATGTAAATGTTACGTGTACTTGGGATATAACTGTGGTCCATTTTAAAACTGCCAGCAATTTTTCTCTGTTGAATGTAGTTTTATGACACATGGTGTGGTTCCATATCAGATTGATGTAAGACAGTTTGTCACATCACTATTTCTAATATGGTTATTACAGTGAGCTCCACTTCATAATAGATGTAATTACACTGAAAAAAATTTAGCGACTGATGCCCAGATGTAAATTAGCCTTTTAGAATTTAACAAAGGTGTAATCAATTATATATATGGAAGATATAACAAATACGATAGCTGCTTTACAAATAATTGGCGACCTCAAAATTAAATAGTCTAGATTTGGTGCTCTCCCCCTAAATTTATTGCTCCCAAATTCACGATCTTTCCATGTTATATAACATTGCTTGAAAAAGGTAACTAAAACTAAAATTAACCAATCATAGCTTGTCTCTACAGTTGCATACTTTGGTATAAATATCGCTCACGAGTTATTTACATGATTCCTTTCCCTAGCTTCGTCACTGCTAACATATCCTCGCTGCTAAGCCCACCTGTCTAAAAGGACGTAGTATCCCCTTTTCTGTGTTTATAAAAATTATTGTAAATCATTATGATATGCACACACAGATATATATGCAGTAAATGCTCAACTATCCAGCATCCAACTAACTGGAATATTGTAGAATTTTGCATTTTTTCCAAATTTTATATAATTATAAATTTAGATTTTTGATGTGCAAGTTGGTAACCAAAATGACTGTTCTTATAATTTTAAAGGCAAAATTTCTTCCATTTGTTTAGCTTTTCTAGCATGAATTCCACATTCAGTTATCTGGAATTTTGCACATATCTGAAATTCTGCATTTCCCGAACTTTCCAGGTAGTTTAACTTTTACTGTATATGTATTCAAAAATTGCTATTCTTTTACCTAATAAATAAACTTGTAGGCTGCCATTTGGACGTAATTTTATATTAACACTTCATTTTTTATGTATGTGCTCTACAGCGAAAATAAAGCCTCAGTCATGCAGCAAGTTCATCCCCAGTTCCTTGTTAGAGTACCATTGGTTCATCCCGCATGACTCCATCATTTAGTGGTTTGATAAGACTTTCCTTTCCTACATGTGTTCTTTTCGTCTAGGTTTTCTTTTATCAGAATTGTTTTTACACTCGCAAGAAAATCAAACTTGTTGAACCAGTGTATGTTCAAGCAAAAATATGCAATTATTGTGCATTACCAAGTATACTCAAAAATACTTCACGGATTTTTCCTAGTGCATCACAGAATATTTTAGATTAGAATAATGTTCCTTGCTTCACTGTAGAGAAAGTTATTTTCCCTCGCAACCACGAATTATTTAAAATTCGCGATAGATGTTAATTAAGTTTCTAGTCAAAAGATTATGCCACTAAACTACTACACATGTTCTTTAATCCTTTCACCGTCCTCTCCTGTTCACGATAATTTCTCCCCAGCAGCCCTTTGTTTTCCGCAGCGTGTAATGTTGTTTTCTCTGTATGTACATAACTTTCGTAGTGGATGAATGTAAATTAATATTAAGTAACATTATAAGGAAATAAAGCATAATGGAAAATTAATAATATCTCTGCTTATTTCTAACAGGATTAATTTTGATAACATCTGATCCAGGCAGTCCACTCCTCCCATTTTGTTGTTGTAATCTTTTACAATTATTGTTTTTTTTTACATTTCTTTTCCGTGCCTCAACATAAATCATACAGTTATTATGGACTGTACTCATGAAACGTATGTTCTTCTTGTCTTTCCAATTCACAACCTCAGTTTTTCTCATTTTCTGCTGAGTAGACATTGAAGATCTGTCACTGTCTTGTATCTTATGTAAAATGGCACGAATATTCATAAAACCGGGGGGGGGGAACTTCAATTAAAAATAGAATGCCTGATTAGTACTGCCCTATAGGAGGTATTCGAACAAACAAAAATAAAAACACAAAAAAAGTAAACATTTAGAAAGCGTTTTAAACGTTTAATAGTGTTAAAATGTGAAGCGCGTTACGGTCGCCCTGCAGAAGTTTCACTTGAACGCACTGACGCGTTATGGACAACCAAGAGGTTAAGTTATGATTAGGTGCTAGTCGAGTTGATTCACATTGTTTGTTCTGCATAGGTATTTTACTGTTATTGTTTACATTCAAAATGTCAGGTGACAAAGGTGAATATGAATTCAGATATTGAACAAGATTTATATGTTAATGAGAATCTAGCTTGTCCAATGAATTAAAACTAGATATGACTTCTGTTCAGTAGTCTGGTGCTTAATAGGTGTTCAAACTGACCCTCTTTCTAATAGTATGACTTGTTGCACCTCCCCCCCCAAAAAAAAACTTTCAAACAGAAGGCAATGCCTTTGTTCTAGATTATTAGTCTATTTTTGAAAGACAAAATTATCGTAATGATAATGTTTGTAACAAGCGGGTATGCTCAGCAGTCCTTAGTGAATAAGCCTTCAACATCTAATAGTGCATGGGCTGATGTTTATTAGTCTGAAATATGAATGTTTTTATCCTTGATCATACTACAAAGAGTTGTGAAAAAAAAACTAATTATGAAGCACTGCTGGTCAAGGATGTGTTCATTACACCACCATTTTCTCCTTGTTACATGTTATGTAAGTGCTTTGAAAACGCGTCAAAGTACTTACACTTTTTAAACAATGAGGCATTTGATGCAGAAAGCTACCCAAATCCTAAGTTGACAAAAATGAGACCGTAATATGAAAAGTTTGTCAAAAAATTTCTTTCTTTATGCATTCTAAAAAATGGATATAACTATTGATGAAAGTTTATGTAAAGGATGCTTGGGTTCAATACAATACATACCACTGAAAACAGCCTAATTCGGAATTAAACCTTACCTTTTATGTGAATCTAAGAGTGGATATGTTTGAAATTTTTTAATTTATACTAGAAAAGGGGCTGTTATGGATGACATATGAATATTTGCAAATTTCTGCCCGGGTAGTGATGTGTTTGATGGGCCTCTTCTCAACCTTGTATATTGTTTCACAATGGACAACTTTCACAGCTCTCCATGTATAGCCAACGTGCAAATGCAAAACAAAACTCATGTATATGGGACTTTAAAGAAGAATAGAAAAAGGATACGTACAGATTTGAAAAAATTCCCAAAAGAAAAGTTATTGGCTATCAAAGAAGTAAAGTGTCAGATGGAATGGTGGGAAAAAAAATTATTTACTTCTGACAATGCATTGTTTAGGAAAAGTTATGAAAAAAACCGTAATGAAGAAATTAGTAAGCTACAAGTGGTTCCCTCCTGTAATGATATCATGGGTGTGGTTGGTAGAGTAGATCATCATTTATCTACCTAGACTCTTCCTCGTAACAGAGGTAAAAAAACATTATAATAAATTTTTTTATCATGTATGAAATTCATTTATATTATATGAGAAAGTAGACACAAAAATTCTCTGGACTCTCAATTTGTTCATACTATGATTGAGCATTACCACGACTTTTCTTATACAAAAATAGAAAAGCTAAATGGTACTCTGACACCAAAAGGACTTTCTGGGTGACATTTTCCAGATCTTATTTCTGTGACTGCTAAAAAAAGTTCAAGACAATGTGTTAGTGCACACAAAAGGGAGGCTGAAGGGGAAAAGTTTCGAAAAGAATCGAGGTACTGTGACATCGCTGAACTCCCTGGATGGAAGACATCAAGACAGGTTGTCTTTTTAGATTTATTTTTCAATGTAACAAGTGAATTCTAAGTTATAACAAGGTTTGAATTAGTATGCAAAAAACGTTTCAACAATATTATTATAGAAGGGAAAGAGAAAGGCTTCCCTGACACAAGACGTGTCTTACTCCAATGGCATCTTTCAGACAACTCTTTGTTGTTTTGTTACAAAACAAGAAAACAAATACACTGCATGCAGGCTGTCCAAAAATCCCTTTCGATTAGTTTCACTCACTTAGCCTAGAGAGAGGCAGAAACACAGTTCTTTCCATACGAATATGAAACTCTCCAATTTCGAACACATGTAATTTGTCATGGTGCTGTTGCAAGGACTGCAATGTTTCTATATGTGCCATACCATGTTTTTGCGTATGTCAAACCACCACTGCCTTCTACACTTTAGTTGCCCTATCTGATCAGGTTATGGATTTTTCAACTTTTGTTTAAATATTTTTGGCCAAATTTGGTTCTTGTTGGCAAAAATATTTTTGGATTATAGTTAGGAATGTCAATTTCTTTTCAAATGAACAACAGCAAAACTAGTAAATTTTTGGCAGAGAATTAACCCCGCCAGCATTATGGATGGGAAACTCCATATAGAAGGCTGGCTTCCTTATTCATTGCACATGAAAATTTCTGCCAGCTTTTAATGTATCTGAGTTTGATTTGGATGTATGTTGTAAGAAAAGGAATCATGACAAAAAATGAGTCATTTTTTAATTAAAATCAAGAAAATACCACGTATTTATTCATGATATTTTGAGAAACTCTGAAATTTCAGGGCTAAATCCGTAACGCTCGGAATGTCAAGAAATAATTTGAGCTGTCAATAGGAAAAAGAAAATGATAGCTCAAGCTCAACACAGTCTTAATTTGATTTGCCTTTGGTACATAAAAATATGCAAAATTTTGTAACTCTTCTAAATGCAAGAGAGTGCTTCAAACTCGAAGTTTAAGGACTGTATGAGCAGGTGGATAAAATTTTTACATGTTTAAGATGGAAAATATTGAAGATATTTGACAAACTGTAAGAAATGCACATGATCAGGAGAATGGAAGCATAATAGACACATATTTGTAAAGATTTAAAAGTAGCGAAGTGGCATGTCAAAGGTCTGGAA